GGGTCTGATGGTCCAGAGGACGGGTCTGATGGTCCAGAGGACAGGTCTATTGGTCCAGAGGACGGGTCTATTGGTCCAGAGGACGGGTCTATTGGTCCAGAGGACAGGTCTATTGGTCCAGAGGACGGGTCTGATGGTCCAGAGGACGGGTCTATTGGTCCAGAGGACGGGTCTATTGGTCCAGAGGACGGGTCTATTGGTCCAGAGGACAGGTCTATTGGTCCAGAGGACGGGTCTGATGGTCCAGAGGACGGGTCTATTGTTCCAGAGGACGGGTCTATTGGTCCAGAGGACGGGTCTGATGGTCCAGAGGACGGGTCTGATGGTCCAGAGGACGGGTCTGATGGTCCAGAGGACGGGTCTATTGGTCCAGAGGACGGGTCTATTGGTCCAGAGGACGGGTCTATTGGTCCAGAGGACGGGTCTGATGGTCCAGAGGACGGGTCTGATGGTCCAGAGGACAGGTCTATTGGTCCAGAGGACGGGTCTATTGGTCCAGAGGACGGGTCTATTGTTCCAGAGGACGGGTCTATTGGTCCAGAGGACGGGTCTATTGTTCCAGAGGACGGGTCTATTGGTCCAGAGGACGGGTCTGATGGTCCAGAGGACGGGTCTGATGGTCCAGAGGACGGGTCTGATGGTCCAGAGGACGGGTCTGATGGTCCAGAGGACGGGTCTGATGGTCCAGAGGACGGGTCTATTGGTCCAGAGGACGGGTCTGATGGTCGAGAGGACGGGTCTATTGGTCCAGAGGACGGGTCTGATGGTCGAGAGGACGGGTCTATTGGTCCAGAGGACGGGTCTGATGGTCGAGAGGACGGGTCTATTGGTCCAGAGGACGGGTCTGATGGTCGAGAGGACGGGTCTATTGGTCCAGAGGACGGGTCTATTGGTCCAGAGGACGGGTCTGATGGTCGAGAGGACGGGTCTATTGGTCCAGAGGACGGGTCTGATGGTCCAGAGGACGGGTCTATTGGTCCAGAGGACGGGTCTATTGTTCCAGAGGACGGGTCTATTGGTCCAGAGGACGGGTCTATTGTTCCAGAGGACGGGTCTATTGGTCCAGAGGACGGGTCTGATGGTCCATAGGACGGGTCTATTGGTCCTGAGGACGGGTCTATTGGTCCAGAGGACGGGTCTGATGGTCCAGAGGACGGGTCTGATGGTCCAGAGGACGGGTCTGATGGTCCAGAGGACGGGTCTATTGGTCCAGAGGACGGGTCTGATGGTCCAGAGGACGGGTCTATTGGTCCAGAGGACGGGTCTATTGGTCCAGAGGACGGGTCTGATGGTCCAGAGGACGGGTCTATTGGTCCAGAGGACGGGTCTGATGGTCCAGAGGACGGGTCTGATGGTCCAGAGGACGGGTCTATTGGTCCAGAGGACGGGTCTGATGGTCCAGAGGACGGGTCTGATGGTCCAGAGGACGGGTCTGATGGTCCAGAGGACGGGTCTATTGGTCCAGAGGACGGGTCTGATGGTCCAGAGGACGGGTCTATTGGTCCAGAGGACGGGTCTGATGGTCCAGAGGACGGGTCTATTGGTCCAGAGGACGGGTCTGATGGTCCAGAGGACGGGTCTATTGGTCCAGAGGACGGGTCTGATGGTCCAGAGGACGGGTCTGATGGTCCAGAGGACGGGTCTATTGGTCCAGAGGACGGGTCTGATGGTCCAGAGGACGGGTCTATTGTTCCAGAGGACGGGTCTATTGGTCCAGAGGACGGGTCTATTGTTCCAGAGGACGGGTCTGATGGTCCAGAGGACGGGTCTGATGGTCCAGAGGACGGGTCTGATGGTCCAGAGGACGGGTCTGATGGTCCAGAGGACAGGTCTATTGGTCCAGAGGACGGGTCTGATGGTCCAGAGGACGGGTCTATTGTTCCAGAGGACGGGTCTATTGGTCCAGAGGACGGGTCTATTGTTCCAGAGGACGGGTCTGATGGTCCAGAGGACGGGTCTGATGGTCCAGAGGACAGGTCTATTGGTCCAGAGGACGGGTCTGATGGTCCAGAGGACGGGTCTGATGGTCCAGAGGACGGGTCTGATGGTCCAGAGGACAGGTCTATTGGTCCAGAGGACAGGTCTATTGGTCCAGAGGACGGGTCTATTGGTCCAGAGGACGGGTCTATTGGTCCAGAGGACGGGTCTATTGGTCCAGAGGACGGGTCTGATGGTCCAGAGGACGGGTCTGATGGTCCAGAGGACGGGTCTATTGTTCCAGAGGACGGGTCTATTGGTCCAGAGGACGGGTCTATTGGTCCAGAGGACGGGTCTATTGGTCCAGAGGACGGGTCTGATGGTCCAGAGGACGGGTCTGATGGTCCAGAGGACGGGTCTATTGGTCCAGAGGACGGGTCTATTGGTCCAGAGGACAGGTCTATTGGTCCAGAGGACGGGTCTGATGGTCCAGAGGACGGGTCTGATGGTCCAGAGGACGGGTCTATTGGTCCAGAGGACAGGTCTATTGGTCCAGAGGACGGGTCTGATGGTCCAGAGGACAGGTCTATTGTTCCAGAGGACGGGTCTGATGGTCCAGAGGACGGGTCTGATGGTCCAGAGGACAGGTCTATTGGTCCAGAGGACGGGTCTGATGGTCCAGAGGACAGGTCTATTGTTCCAGAGGACGGGTCTGATGGTCCAGAGGACGGGTCTGATGGTCCAGAGGACAGGTCTATTGTTCCAGAGGACGGGTCTGATGGTCCAGAGGACGGGTCTATTGGTCCTGAGGACGGGTCTATTGGTCCAGAGGACGGGTCTATTGGTCCAGAGGACGGGTCTATTGGTCCAGAGGACGGGTCTGATGGTCCAGAGGACGGGTCTATTGGTCCTGAGGACGGGTCTATTGGTCCAGAGGACGGGTCTATTGGTCCAGAGGACGGGTCTATTGGTCCAGAGGACGGGTCTGATGGTCCAGAGGACGGGTCTATTGGTCCAGAGGACGGGTCTGATGGTCCAGAGGACGGGTCTATTGGTCCAGAGGACGGGTCTATTGGTCCAGAGGACGGGTCTATTGGTCCAGAGGACGGGTCTGATGGTCCAGAGGACGGGTCTGATGGTCCAGAGGACGGGTCTGATGGTCCAGAGGACGGGTCTGATGGTCCAGAGGACAGGTCTATTGGTCCAGAGGACGGGTCTGATGGTCCAGAGGACAGGTCTATTGTTCCAGAGGACGGGTCTATTGGTCCAGAGGACGGGTCTATTGGTCCAGAGGACGGGTCTGATGGTCCAGAGGACGGGTCTGATGGTCCAGAGGACGGGTCTGATGGTCCAGAGGACGGGTCTATTGGTCCAGAGGACGGGTCTATTGGTCCAGAGGACGGGTCTGATGGTCCAGAGGACGGGTCTGATGGTCCAGAGGACGGGTCTATTGTTCCAGAGGACGGGTCTGATGGTCCAGAGGACGGGTCTGATGGTCCAGAGGACGGGTCTATTGGTCCAGAGGACGGGTCTATTGGTCCAGAGGACGGGTCTATTGGTCCAGAGGACAGGTCTATTGGTCCAGTCTATTGGTCCAGAGGACGGGTCTATTGGTCCAGAGGACGGGTCTATTGGTCCAGAGGACGGGTCTATTGGTCCAGAGGACGGGTCTATTGGTCCAGAGGACAGGTCTATTGGTCCAGAGGACGGGTCTATTGGTCCAGAGGACGGGTCTATTGGTCCAGAGGACGGGTCTATTGGTCCAGAGGACGGGTCTATTGGTCCAGAGGACAGGTCTATTGGTCCAGTCTATTGGTCCAGAGGACGGGTCTATTGGTCCAGAGGACGGGTCTATTGGTCCAGAGGACGGGTCTATTGGTCCAGAGGACGGGTCTATTGGTCCAGAGGACGGGTCTGATGGTCCAGAGGACGGGTCTATTGGTCCAGAGGACGGGTCTATTGGTCCAGAGGACGGGTCTATTGGTCCAGAGGACGGGTCTGTGTGTCCCTAGTCCTTCCTGACATCTGTCCGTCTGTCTGACGGATCCGTCCCACACGCTGACAGCAGAAGCCGTCATCAGCAGTCAGCGGGTTCACCTGTCGAGGCGTTCGAGGCGCCGGGACTGATGATTGACGGCTGCAGGAAAACGTCTTCGTTTTTGAAGCTCTTCTCAGAAAATCCACTTTGAACCTAAAACTGTCTGCAGGGTTTGAAGAATTTATAAAAGTCGTTATTTGGAGCAGAAAACGAGTTGAAGTGAAGCTGGATGATGTCAGGATGAATCATTCCTGGGAGGAAGGCGGAGACGATGAGGATGATGAGGTTTGGCGTGCGGAGAGGAGACCGTTTATCATCCCGCTGTTATTAAGTTAGAATATGCTAAGCTTGGAGGGAACTCCTCCAGAACATTCCCAGAATATTCCGGCCTCTTCCGGGAATGACTCGGTTCAGTTAAGATGAACTGTTTATAAATAGATGGGTGGGGGTGCACTCAGGGGAAGACGCCATGCTGCGCCGCCATCTTTACCTCTATGTGACAGGCTGGCGTTGGAGGACGAGTATTAAACACTCAGAGATCATAAAGAAAGAAAGAAAAGTTAAAAGCTGACAAATGATGAGGGGGCGGGGCTTCAAAAAGGAGGTTTGAGGGTTCCAGAGGGTCAGGTGAGTTCATTCAGGTAAACGACATCAGAAACAGGACAGCAGTTAGTCTGTCCTCGCTGGACGAGCTAACGGCCGCCATCAGCTGATGTCACTCCAGCAGGACGCTCCGTACGCTTCCTGTTTTCAGGGATTTTCCAGGTGTTTAATTTTACCAAAGTAAAACCTGCTCCTGGCTGTGATTATTCGCTCAACGCCGCAGCATCAAACCCTGAAACATCTTAGATGATAAAGAAGCCCCGCCCACCTCCAGTCATTAATCAGCTGAAATAAACAATCAGAAACCAGAAAAAATCTCTCTGTAAGTCATCAATAAAATCCTGAATCACCTAGGATCCCATTTATGACCCCCTGCAGCCTCCATAGTAGTTCATTCTTTCAGCCACCACTAGATGGCACTGCATCTGCATCTAGAACTCACATTGGTAGATGAATCCTCCGCAGGCTTCGCTCCTCCCTCCTCTTGTAGGTCCGGCGCCGTCGGAACCGAGACGGGCAGCAGAGGTGAGCGAGCCTTCCCGGCCTGACCCAGGGACGCCGTCTTCACCTGGGGTTTGGGGAGGCTGGCACCTGGACAAGAGCAGGAGGACAGTAAAGGAGCGGGACAGCAGATCAGATCATTTCAGCCATTATTCCGCCTTATTAAAGGCGCTCTAACCCCTAAACCATCACTACGGAGCGGGGACGTTATAGTGAACTTTATAGTGAACTCAGTTAACTGAGCGTTCAGACAGGTGATCACTGCTTTTAGCTCTTTGTTTGTCACGTAACTCTGCCTCCCCCACGGTGCCTGCGCCATCTTGGGCCACTGTGGCAACAAATCCCATGATGCTTTGCTAGGAGAGCTCTCCTCTGTGTCTGAATCTAACCAACCACTGAAGGCACCAGTGAACATTAACCAATCAGAAACAACGGAAGGTGGGTCTTGACGTCTGTCTTTGAAACACGGGCGGATTGGGCTGTTGTCCAATTTTTGTCCAAGTTTTGTTTTGCATTTGGAGGCGCCAGTCTGGGGGGGGGCAGCTGCTGTTTATAAATCGACTTTAAATGGATGAACACATCATGACTCTCTTGTCATTTTCTGAAACTGGGAAGCTCTGTTCAAAGTCTTGATTTAGTCCAGAACTAGTTGATAAACTTTGGCCTTTCAACATCTTTTCCAGGATCTGAAAATCTCAGCTTTAACCCGCGAGTTTTCAGCCTAATGTTGACGTTGTTTGGACGTGAACCATGACGTCTTCTTAATGTCTTTTCAACCAATGATTGATCGCTGGGCTCTGCTGCCTTCAGGTTTGGCTTCAGGTCATCTGGATGATTTGCTAAGCAGCTGCTTCCAGAACTTTGCAGGTACCAATAACCAGCTTCTGGTTCAGTTCTGGCTCTGGTTCTGGATTGGTTCCGGTTCTGGATCTAGTCTGGTTCTGGTCTGATTCTGATCTGGTTCTGGTTCTAGTCTGGTTCTAGTCTGGTCCTGGTCTGGTTCTGGTCTGGTTCAATTCTGGTCTGGTTCTAGTATGGTTCTGGTTTGGTTGTGGTCTGGTTCTGATCTGGTTCTGGTTCTGGTTTGGTTCTGGTCTGGTTCTAGTCTGGTTCTGGTCTGGTTCTGGTCCTGGTTCAGTTCTGGTTCTGGTTTGGTTCTGGTATTGGTCTGGTTCTGGTCTGGTTTGGTTGTGGTTCGGTTCTGGTCTGGTTCTGGTCTGGTTCTGGTTCGGTTCTGGTCTGGTTCTGATCTGGGTCTGGTTCTGGTACGTGTCTTGTCTGGTTCTGGTCTGGTTCTGGTCCTGGTTCGGTTCTGGGCTGGTTCTAGTCTGGTCCTGGTCTGGTTCTGGTCTGGTTCTGGTCTGGTTCTGGTCTGGTTCAGTTCTGGTCTGGTCCTGGTCCGGTTCTGGTCTGGTTCTGGTTTGGTTCTGGTCTAGTTCTGATCTGGTTCTGGTTCGGTTCTGGTCTGGTTCTAGTCTGGTTCTGGTCTGGTTCTGGTCTGGTTCTAGTCTGGTTCTGGTCTGGTCCTGGTCCGGTTCTGGTCTGGTTCTGGTTTGGTTCTGGTCTAGTTCTGATCTGGTTCTGGTTCGGTTCTGGTCTGGTTCTAGTCTGGTTCTGGTCTGGTTCAGTTCTGGTCTGGTTCAGTTCTGGTCTGGTTCTGGTTTGGTTCTGGTCTAGTTCTGATCTGGTTCTGGTTCGGTTCTGGTCTGGTTCTGGTCTGGTTCTAGTCTGGTTCTGGTCTGGTTCAGTTCTGGTCCTGGTCCGGTTCTGGTCTGGTTCTGGTTTGGTTCTGGTCTAGTTCTGATCTGGTTCTGGTTCAGTTCTGGTCTGGTCCTGGTCCGGTTCTGGTCTGGTTCTGGTTTGGTTCTGGTCTAGTTCTGATCTGGTTCTGGTTTGGTTCTGGTCTGGTTCTGGTTTGGTTCTGGTTTGGTTCTGGTCTAGTTCTGATCTGGTTCTGGTTCTGGTCTGGTTCTGAATTAGAAGATGTAAACTGAACAAACCAAAGTCCATCATAGGGTCAGTATTAGCATCGATGTTGGGATTAGAAACGTGTTTTATTTCTTAAATCCTTATCAGGAAGTTAAAGATCGATCGTATATCTGGGAACCGTAAATCGCAATATATCGATTTTTATCCACTGATGGTCGGCGTGTTAATCTAGGAGAAGCTGATCTATCGGGGCCTCCAGCCTTCATCCACGTCTAGATCAGAGTTTCTATAAACGTCGTTATGGAGAAGAACCGCTTCAGAAGTAAAGACAGATATTTGTCTTTAAAAGAAAAAACTCTGAATAAAGTACAGATAGTTAAAGAAGCTACTGAAGTAACAAAGTATTTATACTTTAGTAACTTTATACCAAATACTTTTAAACAGGACTCAATTCTGGAACATCTACTTTTACTTTTAGTTGGGTCAATTTTGAAGATTTCAACCCAGAACTGCAGTACAGTTCTGGGTCTGCTGCCCATCCATCCTCCATCACTCAGAACCGGTCCCAACCGGTCCCAACTGGTCCCAACCGGTCCCAACTGGTCCAATCCGGTCCCAACTGGTCCAATCCGGTCCCTCTTCTGCTCTAACTGTTCAAACTGGACTCCATGTGGACCAGAGGGACCAGAATAATCTAGGTACAGTTCCTGGTTTCTAACGGGTGGTTCCAGGACCAGCAGCCTGAGCTGCTCCCTCTGACCCCAGCAGGACCTGGACTTCCCCCGGTCCCTGACTGGACCCTAAGTCCTCTGCTGTGGGTCCGTCCAGCTGACAGCTGGAGCTCCAGACTGGATCAGGTTTGGTTGTGGTCTGGTTCTGATCTGGTTCTGGTTCTGGTTTGGTTCTGGTCTGGTTCTAGTCTGGTTCTGGTCTGGTTCTGGTCCTGGTTCAGTTCTGGTTCTGGTTTGGTTCTGGTATTGGTCTGGTTCTGGTCTGGTTTGGTTGTGGTTCGGTTCTGGTCTGGTTCTGGTCTGGTTCTGGTTCGGTTCTGGTCTGGTTCTGGTTCGGTTCTGGTCTGGTTCTGATCTGGGTCTGGTTCTGGTACGTGTCTTGTCTGGTTCTGGTCTGGTTCTGGTCCTGGTTCGGTTCTGGGCTGGTTCTAGTCTGGTCCTGGTCTGGTTCTGGTCTGGTTCTGGTCTGGTTCAGTTCTGGTCTGGTCCTGGTCCGGTTCTGGTCTGGTTCTGGTTTGGTTCTGGTCTAGTTCTGATCTGGTTCTGGTTCGGTTCTGGTCTGGTTCTAGTCTGGTTCTGGTCTGGTTCTGGTCTGGTTCTAGTCTGGTTCTGGTCTGGTCCTGGTCCGGTTCTGGTCTGGTTCTGGTTTGGTTCTGGTCTAGTTCTGATCTGGTTCTGGTTCGGTTCTGGTCTGGTTCTAGTCTGGTTCTGGTCTGGTTCAGTTCTGGTCTGGTTCTGGTTTGGTTCTGGTCTAGTTCTGATCTGGTTCTGGTTCGGTTCTGGTCTGGTTCTGGTCTGGTTCTAGTCTGGTTCTGGTCTGGTTCAGTTCTGGTCCTGGTCCAGTTCTGGTCTGGTTCTGGTTTGGTTCTGGTCTAGTTCTGATCTGGTTCTGGTTTGGTTCTGGTCTGGTTCTGGTTTGGTTCTGGTTTGGTTCTGGTTTGGTTCTGGTCTAGTTCTGATCTGGTTCTGGTTCTGGTCTGGTTCTGAATTAGAAGATGTAAACTGAACAAACCAAAGTCCATCATAGGGTCAGTATTAGCATCGATGTTGGGATTAGAAACGTGTTTTATTTCTTAAATCCTTATCAGGAAGTTAAAGATCGATCGTATATCTGGGAACCGTAAATCGCAATATATCGATTTTTATCCACTGATGGTCGGCGTGTGAATCTAGGAGAAGCTGATCTATCGGGGCCTCCAGCCTTCATCCACGTCTAGATCAGAGTTTCTATAAACGTCGTTATGGAGAAGAACCGCTTCAGAAGTAAAGACAGATATTTGTCTTTAGAAGAAGAAACTCTGAATAAAGTACAGATAGTTAAAGAAGCTACTGAAGTAACAAAGTATTTATACTTTAGAAAATTTATACCAAAAACTTTTAAACAGGACTCAATTCTGGAACATCTACTTTTACTTTTAGTTGAGTCAATTTTTGAAGATTTCAACCCAGAACTGCAGTACAGTTCTGGGTCTGCTGCCCATCCATCCTCCATCACTCAGAACCGGTCCCAACCGGTCCCAACTGGTCCCAACCGGTCCCAACTGGTCCAATCCGGTCCCTCTTCTGCTCTAACTGTTCAAACTGGACTCCATGTGGACCAGAGGGACCAGAATAGTCTAGGTACAGTTCCTGGTTTCTAACGGATGGTTCCAGGACCAGCAGCCTGAGCTGCTCCCTCTGACCCCAGCAGGACCTGGACTTCCCCCGGTCCCTGACTGGACCCTAAGTCCTCTGCTGTGGGTCCGTCCAGCTGACAGCTGGAGCTCCAGACTGGATCAGGGCAGAACAGGGAAGCCAACCAGCAGCAGATCTATAGATCTGTTCTTCCAACAGATCAGGACGGGGGGCCGGTTCTGCTCTCAGCCAGAGAGGAGAATAGATCCGCCATCAGATTAATTTCAGCGTTCCGCCGCTAACAGACGCCATCTGGGCCAAATATTGAGCCGGCCCATAAATGCTTCCTTCATAATCAGGTCAATCTTTGCTGGACGGGAAACATCGACGCCTTTCAGCTGCTGACAGGAATCGTTTGACCTGCTAACCCGCTGCCGCCATCGACCGCTCTAAACGCCAACGTTAGAACTGAGAGTCTGACAGAGAGGCGGGCCAAAGCCAGGCTGGGTCCTGCTTCTGGCTCCGCCCATCTCACGCCAACGGCGCTCTCCATCACACCCTTCATTCCTTCCTCATCCATTAGCTGCTGAAAACCTGGAGCTCAGAGAGCAGAACCAACCCAGAACCTGGAGCCAGATCCCGGGACCAACCCAGAACCTGGGACTAACCCAGAACCCGGGACTAACCTAGAACCCGGGACCAACCCAGAACCCGGGACTAACCCAGAAACCAGAGAAAATACACAATCCGTGACTAACCCAGAACCTGGGACTAACCCAGAACCCGGAGAAAACCCAGAATCCGGGACTAACCCAG